ATTGGATGGACTTCCTATGTAGTTTTACTTTATACACAAACAATGTACGTTTGAAAAAATATCCGAATTAAACGTATATAATACGTACATTGTTTGTATATAAGTAAAACTTCGATATCACATATTTCCAAACTGTTGAATCTTATTGAAAACTCTTTTGTTTAAGAACTGTTTGTCATATTTGTAAGTTACCACTTACTACAATCTTCTTTAGAGATACATGTGCGTTTGTTTTGTGGTTTAAACGAGTGTTACAATGTTGTTGGCAAAATATTGACAAACAGCCCTAATGAAACTGATGAAATGAGGTGATCAGATCTAGAGTATAATTAAATAAGATCCAAAGTGTTTTAATGGTGGCATAAGTTCAATTTCTGTTTCTTCAGTATCTCAGGACCAAAGGAAACAGTGAAAAAACCCAGAATATATGGAGCCCCAGTCGCTAAATTTTAACACTGATATCGTTGTTTTACGTTCTCACTTCCCTACACATTTTTTCTCGGCAGTGGTTAACCCCTAGTCATTATATGACCGGATGGACCACTATGGTGGAAACTTCGGTATGGTTTTTCAGTGAGGCAGTGTTCACAACAAGCTGAAAATCACATGCGGTCTGATTGTTTTATTAACTTCACGTTGTAGTCGCGATGGTCAGGGTCCATACCTTGAGTAGGCCCTCCTTGTAAATTCCTTAAATTTGATGATATTTCAAATGAATGCCCTCACCAATAAACAAGGTCACTGGGGTCAAATATGTTATAAAATTTAACCAACTTCTAAGTTTTTCTGAATATTTTGCCAATTTCATGCTTGGGATAAATGCTATCAAGTGTGTTCAAATAATTACCTTGGCCATTAATATGCTGGGATGAAGGGCTACTAAGCTTGTAAAAATGAATGACCTTGACCAAGGTCACATGGGTCAAACGTATTCTTAAACTTTTAATGACTTCTTATGAATAACCCGAAGGCCCAGGATGTGGATATTTTGCCAGTAACATGCAGGATTGAAGTGCTACCAAGTTTGTTCAAATGAATGACCTCGACCTATATTCAAGTTTACATGGGTTTATTGTCTTAAAAACTTTTAAACAACATATTCTGAGTAAGCAAAAGGCCCAGGATAATGATAATTGGCCAGTAATTAACCTGCTTGAAGGAAGGGCTTCCAATTTTGTTCAAATGAATGACCTAAACTTGTATTCAAGGTCACAGGGGTCAAATATGTTTAAAACCTTTTAACGACTTCTCCTGAATAACCAATAACTAAGTTTATTCAAATGAATGACTTGGACTTTTATTCAAGGTCACAGGGGTCATATATGTTATATGCAGGGATGAAGAAGGGCTACCAATTTCAAGGATGTTAAAATGAATGGTCTTGACATATAATCATTGCCACCTGGGTCAAATATAATTTAAACCTTTTTTTTTTCTTCTGAATAACCAAAAGGCCAAGCATTTTTAGCTCACCTGGCCTGAAAGTAAGATTTTACTTTAAAACAATTTCTTCTTAATAACCAAAAGGCCTAGGGTGCTGATATATATATTTGGCCAGAAGCAAATTTGGATGAATTGCTTCCAAGTTTGTTCAAATAAATGACCTTCACCCAAATTCAAGGTTGCAGGGGTCAAATATGTTAAATGATTTAAACAACTGCCCAGGGTTATGATATTTGGCCAGAAGTATGCTGGGATGAAGGGCTACCAAATTTATTCAAATGAATGACTTTCACTCATATTAAAGGTCACATAGGTCAGTTGTCTTAAAAACCTTTTAATCAACTTCTTCTGAATAACCAAAAGGATCAGGATGATGATATTTGGCCAGTAGGATGCTTGAAGGAAGGGTTACCAACTTTGTTCAAATGAATGACCTTCACCCAAATTCAAGGTTACAGGAGTCAAATTTAAAGTTTTAAACAACTTCTTCTGAATAGTCAAAATGCAAAGGGTGGTGATATGTGACCAGATGAAGAGCAATTTATTTTGTTGATGTGAATGACCTCGACACACATTCAATTTTACATTTGGTAAATTGTGTATATGTATGAACCATTCAAAGTAATTTCTAAATATTGGCAGATTGCATTCTGGGGTGAAGGGCTATAAATTTAAAATGTGTTCAACTTAATGTGATTAATATTTGACTTTCAAGCTCATAGGGGTCAAATGTGTTAACATCTTTTAACATGTACTTTTGAATGACTTTGAGTCATTTAAGACACCGATATTTTGCCTGTAGCTTTATTTAGGCCAAATTAAAATATACATGTGTTTGCCGTTTCCCGTTTCCCCGACAAACCCTATTTTTCATGCCGACCCCAATACATTTTATTGGTTTTTCACATCAACTGTAATGCATTTATTAGCTGTTTAATTGTTCACAGTGTACATATAATTTGTGATGCATTTTATTTGTGTGGTCAGTGTCAGAGTTTTCTTTGAAGATAGTAGCTAAGTAGCCCTAGATAATTGTGCTTATGATATAGGTTGGGATCTGTAGATTAGTGTGACTGTCTGTAGTCTAGGTGGGGGAGTACAGTCCAGTCTGTGATGTCAGTGTTTTTGCCTCCAGCTGAGCTGACCACCAGAGTCAAATTTAGCAGGGTTATGGCCAGTTTTTAACAGGATTTCAGCAGCATCAACAATTTTAATGGATCAACATTTTTTTTTGTAACAGGATTTTGCTAAGGGAAAGATAGTAAGGTAGTTCAGCTGGGGAGTTGAAGGAGGAGAAGTGAGTTAGGTTGGGGAATAGAGTTAAGAGTCTTGAGGAAGGAGATTGAGTTAGGGAGACCCAGTTGATAGGTCAAGAGATATAGAAGAGAGTTAGAAAGATAGAGTTAAGTTAGAATTAGGAAGTGAGTAATAATAGTAGTTTTAGCTGTGGTTTGTAGATCTGTGCAGTTTTACAGTTTATACATGTAGTTGGAGATAATTAAGTTTGAAGTGGAGGGATTGAGTTCACAATAGTGAAGACTTGTATAGCTTATGACAGATTAAAAAATTTGTGTTGTAGATATAGTGTAAAATATAAGTATACTTATTTTGTTGTTCAATTAACTTGAACTGGAGGCAGTGGAAATCGAGAACAGATCGTATCAGTAATACAAAATTAAAGAGAACATAACACTGGTGACCATCAGTGGAGTTTGGATTACTAAACACTAGTGTCCAGCTGTAGGGATAATTTAGAAATGTAACACTGGTGGTAGCACTACTGTAAATTATGGTTGGTTATTCCATAAACATTTAGATGGGTCACATAATAATTTACTTCAATGTGTCGTTTGAGCCTGCTCAACACAAACATTGTGAATGCATTTGTGTATTTATTTTACATGAATCAAAAATTATTTATATATATATTTGTTGCCTCTCGTACTTAATTAAAACAATAACATATTGTTAACATTCACGGAGGTAATCAGGAGATTTTCTTCACCAGAAAAAATAAATGAAAAAATAAAATAGAATGTTTTTCCTTCCGTAACCTACCCTATTTTTTTTGGAGCCGAAACAGGAAACACACATATTTTTATTTGGCCTTAAGTCCATTTCTAAAGTTACAAGTGTAATACCCTGTGAATGACAAAGGCCCATTTAGCCTCTTGTTTGTTTAAAATCTGGGAAAAACACTAATTATTCCTGTTCTTGTAATATAGTGCCTTGAATGTTGTCATCAGATTTGCTACACTTTATGTTTCAGGTTTGTACAGAAACATCAGAAATGGCTTCAGTTATTCCAACAGATCCGGCCATAGATATCCACAATGAATTGGCGTTGCATCTTGGAACACATATTGTGAAGAAAAAATTACATCAACTTAAGAACCTGTTCAGAAATAATCCATTAACCCCAGTCGACATTGCTTCGATTAAAAACATCTATGACCTATTCAACAGTCTTATTAGATACAAAACAATAGCTGTGGGAGACTATACACAATTTGTACGGAAACTTAAACTTACAAATCCTGACCTGGAGAGATATGTGATAGATAAAGAAAAGGAAATTAAAAGCATTGTTGATGGAGGTGAGTCAAACTTACATATTACAACATGTTTATATCAAAAATATTTTATCAAAATTAATTTAAGGATCTCTGCATAATATGCCTGTGTAAGGTTTGGATTTATTTGAAGCATAACTGGATTTGTTAGTTAATTTTGAAATTAATTAAGAGTTTTAATTCAATCATGATAAAGATAAAAAAAAAGATCATTTCCTTTGAAGTTGTTGAAACCTTGCAGATCTAGAGCGACCACTAACTACTTATATGTTGGTTTTATATTTCATGACATGAATCCTTGTTTTATAAACAAGGTGTTTCACAGGTGTCTTAATAATTTTATATTGGGCATCTAATAATTCATGGATACCAGGGTGTGACTAAGATCTGGTACTATATATATAGATACTGGAGGGTAGACATATGAATTGAAAAATGAGCATCAAGCGAAGCAGTACGATAATTGGAAAAGCTGACATTCTAACCAATTGGACAGCTGGTAAACAGTGATTGATCGTGTCCAGTAGGATTGTGTTCATACTCTTCGACATTAGGAAGTTAAATTAAATTATATAAATATGTATACAAGTGGAGAAGTTACAGTGGGGACAATGCAATTAGTCTAATTTTTGAGGCAGTCTGCCCCTTTATCAAATACGATTTATGAAACAAGCAGTAAAAACACACTTACTACTGAGGTTATAATGCTGATGTCAAAACTTATCCCTGCAGCTAGATAATAGAGCCGAAGGCTATTCATAAATAAACTGTTTTCATACAAGGAAATAATTAATGACAAGTTAGAAACTGGTACTATATATAGTCTAGTTTTCTATTGATCTTGGACTTAATACAGGTAGATCTTTGTTATATGTATAGATTGTGTATATTTAGTGAAAGTTACAAACACATTTGTTTTAATTACAGGTTCATCACCAGCCAAGCAGCAAAGGCCAGAAGATCAAGGCCAGCAACAGTCTACAGGTTTGTGATCAGCACATGTTCAGTGGAATTTAAAAATGTAAAGTTGTATGAATACTATATCTGTAGAGGGATGTACATGTACACACAAGTATAAGAACATATTTGCAGTGACGCCCACGCATTGAAAGGACTACGTAACAGTGGAAACATTACGATCACAGATAAAACAGGATTTCAGATCATGCTTTATGTTATCACCATACAGCATTCCACTATTGAATTGTGTTTTTATGATTATTTATGTATGGTAATGATTATTGATTATTTATGTATGATGATTATTGATTATTTATGTATGGTAATTAAGCCCCCACTGCTCAAATTGTTTTTTGTCTGGTTTGGGGTTCATCAGTCAGGCAGTCCATCATTCCTTATCTAAACAATTTCTGATGTCTGTCTGCTTGCTTTAAGAGTGTTCTGATCAAGTTCCATAAGGACCAGGATTTCTGAGATTTTGTCAGTAGGTACCTGAGATCTATAATATTTCCTCATATAAATGACATTGACATACTTTCAAGGTCAGAGGGTCAACTACTTGAAATACTTACAACAACAATTATATGAAGAACAAAAAGGACCTAAGCCATCATATTTTGGATATGTTATGTAAACAGGTATGGATGATCTCCTGGGCCCATATTTGTGCATGCTCCAATTTCAGATGGATAAGAAAATCTAACATAGAATATAAGCCCCTCAAAGTTCGTGTTTCAATATGATTTACACAACTTCCTTGTTACCTCAGTACAAATATTAGTAGAGAAAAGAAACAAAACCTACATACCAGCAACATTCCATATGATATCTGTGCCACGATCCCTCTGTGATTTCATGTGTTCTGTTACTTTCATGTTGTCATCAACATCAACTAATTAATGTCAACTCACTCACTGTGAAATTATAGAAATGGAATCAATGTTTTAACATCCTGCAATATAAAGATCGTAATTATAGGACTACTGTTATAAAATCTTTACAATGTTTTGTCGTAGTTATATCAGTCCAGGCATAAGCATGAGTTCATTGTGTTTGTATGGTGGATGACACTTTGTTAAAATTGTATTCAAAATAAATTGATGAACTTCCTATAATCAGAATTTGAATGATTTGGATAGGTAATATACCTGTTTTTCATCTTTTTCCTGATCCGGTTGCCATGATTGTTACAACAGCAGACACAAGCCGAGACAAAAGTAAGTTTGACAGCTGCAGTGTTATCCACAGGCCTTAATTTATAGCCAGAAGTACCATCTGGTTATTAGCTCACCTGCCCGAAGGGCAAGTGACTTTCAAGNAGCTCACCTGCCCGAAGGGCAAGTGAGCTTATGTTATGGTGCAGCGCCCGTTGTCCGTCCGTCCGTCGTCCGTCTGTCCGGCGTCAACTTTTTACTTTAAACAACCTCTTCTCAATAACCAAAAGGCCCAGGGTAATGATATTAGGCCTGTAGCATGCTGGGATGAAGGGCTACAAAGTTTGTTCAAATAAATGACCTTAACCCACTTTCAAGGTCACAGGGGTCAAATATGTTAAATTCTTCAAACAACTTCTTCTCAATAACCGAAAAGCCCAGGGTACTGATATTGGTCCTGCAGCATGCTGGGATGAAGGGCTACCAAGTTTGTTCAAATGAATGACCTTGACCCACATTCAAGGTCACAGGGGTCAGATGTCTTAAAATCTTCAAACAACTTCTTCTCAATAACCAAAAGGCTCAGGGTACTGATATTGGGCCTGTAGCATGCTGGGATGAAGGGCTACCAAGCTTGTTAAAATGTTTGACCTTGACCAACTTTCAAGATCACTGGGGTCATGCAGATGTCTTAAAATCTTCAAACGCCTTCTTCTCAATAACCAAAACGCCCAGGGTACTGATATTGGGCCTGTAGCATGCTGGGATGAAAGGCTACCAAGTTTGTTCAAATGAATGACCTTGACCTGCTTTCAAGGTCACAGGGGTCAGATGTCTTAAAATCTTCAAACAACTTCTTCTCAATATTAACCAAAAGGCCCAGGGTACTTATATTGGGCCTGTAGCATGCTGGAATGAAGGACTACCAAGTTTAATCAAATGAATGACCTTGATCCACTTTCAACCTGATGTCCTTGTTCGACATTCAAGGTCACAGGCGGCATATGTTTAAATCTTTTAATAGGTTCTTATGAATCAAACACTGATATTCTGCCTGTAGCTGTATTTTAGTCCACTTTTAAGTTTACAAGTGTGAGATTAATACCAGGTGAGCGATGCAGGCCCATTGGGCCTCTTGTTTTTTACTAGCAGGTTGTTTTATGAATTTGAATGAAGAAACTATGTATAGTGGAATGTTTTGAAAAGATATACAACAAGTGCCAGAAAGCTAGTATCTTCACCTTATTGTCAATATATAGAAATACATGGAAAGTCCAACAATCTCTGTCTCCGGCTTTAAGTGACTGGACAGTCTAAAGCTATATTATTGAAATTAATTAAAAATCCTCCCCTTTTAATTAATTAGAAAATGTCCTGGAATAAATAATCTGTTTATAATTCAAATTGTGTCCTACCTATTTAATGTGAATCTCTTATTTTACAGAAATCCATTCTGGCTTGGAACCCATGATAGGTGAGTCTAATCTACTGCATTGGACATAGAGACGAAACGCAGCAGATTTCCTCAAAACCTGGACCAGAACAACATGCATCATCTAAAGATATATGAAAGAATTTTCATAATTCTTTTTAAACAAGAATCTTGGGTTTTCCAAAAGAGTAGTCTTGATAACCAGATTGAACACCAATCTGATAAAGTTTATTCTTTCTCTGTTACGACAAGTTCATAACAGGTCATGTTCTGGTGAATGTAATTGCAGCCAATCATTGAAATGCCCTCCAAATAGTCTTAATATTTCAAATACATGTAATTAAACATGACGTTTGTATTGAAAGTCACCAGAGCATGACCCCTGATGCCATATATGTCATCAGATCTTACACCATAGATATTGTAGAGGAACAGAATGAAAGCTTTTGTTTAAATCAGATTGAAATTATAAGCTCATCTTGAACAAAGTACCAGTGAGCTCTTGTGGTGGTGCTTCATCTGTGGTCGTCTCTGTCTTCGATCATTTTTGTTTTAAATGACATCTCCTAAACTGTTAAGCAGAATTCAACCAAATTCTAAAATCCTTAGGCCAAGAAATCAAAAGATGTATAAATAAAGGGGTCCCCCTCCCCTCACTGGGTGCTTGGGGCTGATTTAGTGACATCCCCCCAACTAATAGGCAAGATTTAACAAAATTGTTGTTGTAGCATCTTTAGGCCGTGGGGATCAAACTTAACACAAATTAAGAGCTGATATTTGGGTGTTCACTGTTGAGATGTAGGATCAAAAAAAGTTTTGAATCGGAAGGTTTACTTTAAATGACATCTCTTCCCAAATTACTGGGCAGGTTTTAAGCAAATTGTTGTGGTAATGTCCTTTACCCATGGGGATCAAAATTTACGTAAATAAATTAAATAAATGAAAAGGGCTGACTATCCTATGCACTCTCAACCCAAACTATCGGCCAGATTTTAACTTGATTTCCAAAATAATCAGCTGAGGGATTCAAGGCCGTTAGGCCTCTTGTTCTATAACAACTATATAAGTAACGTCATTCATGAGGCATTGGATTGTAACAGAGTCATTTTTCAATGCAATGTCTCCGCTAGGGAATGAACCTCTAACCAATGGCTTACTAGTCCGACCCTCTGCCTATTGGACTAAAAGGAAATGCTCTTAGCTCATTTGATAGAGTACAAGACAAGTAAACCAGAGGTCCTGGGTTTGATCCCTAGCAGAGACTTATTATTTTTTAAAGGACAAGTCTGCAAAAACTAAACGTGTTAGTCAGTGACGTCATGATTCACTGTGATTTTACAAGGTTTGAAAACTGACTTTTACTTACATGATGTTTTGTGAGAATGAAATCTCCAAGTTTGTGTTGATTGATTGGTTATCATCACGGATTACATGTTTTTTTTTATCATGATAGGTAAAACAGTATTCGATATATTTTATGAAACTACAATTCCCTCTAATATTCTGTATTTGAAAGTAAAATGAAAACAAAACTCTGACTTACAGATTAAAGTTATATAAGTTTCATTCTGAAATATCAGTTTTACACAATTAAGACGTATCGCCCTATATTTTCTATTTTTCTTTCATACAGAAACAGCAAAAGCCAGAATTAAAAAAGAAAAAGGAAAAAAGATACAATTCCACCCCACCAAAGGTTTCCGGGATGCTAAAGAAAAGCTCCAAAAGAACAGGGTTGTTGTCATCAAGGGAAACACGGGAGACGGTAAAACAGCTATCGCCATCCAACTCCTTCATTGGCTGAGTGAGGAGCAGCAAGCCGGACAACCCCTACAACTTCACAAGATTGAAGATTTACGATTATTGGCTCCAAAATTAAAATTGATCACTTTTATTGATGATATTTTTGGTGAGAAAGATGTGTTCATAAAGGATGTACAAGAGTGGAACAAAAGAATCTCGGATGTAAAAACACTTTTTGTAGATGAACAAATAACCCAGCCCAATTTTCTCATCATTACTATCCGTAATGAAGTATTCAATGCTTTGGAACATCGTTCTCTTGGAACAATTTTAACCAAAGATAACATTATTGATCTGAGCTCAAAAACATACAAAGTTGCAGAAGACAAAAAAATACTTTTACAGCTGTATGAGCCAGAACTCTTTTCATGGACAGACACAGAAAAAAAACAAATTTCAACCTATGCGCCAAACATTGGATTCCCACAATGTTGCCAGCTTTTCTACAATTCTGAAGAATTGCAGAGAGAGCGAGTTAGATTTTTTGAAAGTCCTTTTCGATTTTTGAAAGAAGTATTGTCAAGATTACAAGAATGTTCTGCCCTTTTGTATCTCTTCCTCAATGACGGAATGATAAGAGTAGAAGATCTGGATCCAAACAGTAAAAATGTCAATGAAACATTTCTGGAACAAGCAATTTCAATAAAGTTGATTGGTGGTAAAAAACACACAGTCACTCCGTTATGTAATAAAATTGAAAAAGTGGGATTTATAAAGGACAGTTTAGATGAATTATTAGACTTTTTGGTAAAGAAGGAGAAACAATGGTTTAGTGAGGATGTGTACAGATTTAATCATGATTCTATTTATGTTGCTGTGGCAATTTTGTATGGAAAAGTCACACCGATCGGCTACATACAGAATTGTCCCAGGAAATCCCTCGGTTATCTAACAACCTCAAAAACAGCTACAAACATGATTGTCATATCATCTGATCATTATACAGAAATGTGTGAGCGTCTACTCCGAGAGTTTGAATGTAATAAGTATCTATATGGTACTGGTAGTGGCTCTCTAGATGTATGGAACAATTCTGATTTTGTTGCAAGATTTGTCAGGTTGTTGAATGACAGAAACATTGATAAACTTGCCGTTTTGAATGAAGCATGTTCTTGTGGTGCAGCTGAATGTGCTTCATCTCTTCTGTCAGAAGGTGTAAAACCTGACAAGAACACAGCATTGTCATTGGTTAGAGGACATTGGAATGATAGTAACAGACAAGTGTGTTTTCTTGGGAAAATTGTTGTATACTTAAATGATGAGACAAAAGTTGATATGTTGAATGAAGCATGTTCTTCTGGTGCAGAAGAATGTGCTTTATATCTTCTGTCAGAAGGTGTAAAACCTGGCAAGGACACAGCATTGTCATTAGTTAGTGGGTATGGGAAGGATAAGAACAGACAAATGTGTCTACTTAGGAAAATTGTTGTATACTTGGATGATGAGACAAAAGTTGATATGTTGAATGAAGCTTGTTCTTTTGGTGCAGAAGAATGTGTTTTATATCTTCTGTCAGAAGGTGTAAAACCTGACAAGTACACAAGATGGTGGTCATTGATTGACAGACATCGGAATGATAGTAACAGACAAGTGTATTTACTTAGGCAAATTGTTGTATACTTGAATGATGAGACAAAAGTTGATATGTTGAATGAAGCATGTTCTTCTGCTGCAGAAGAATGTGCTTTATATCTTCTGTCAGAAGGTGTAAAACCAGACAAAGACACAAGATTGTGGTCATTGATTTATAGACATTGGAATGATAGTAACAGGGTTTTACTTCTGTCAGAAGGTGTAAAACCTGACCCAGCGTTGACATTGTTTACTAGTAGATATTGGAAAAATTATAACAGACAAGTGTGTTTACTTGAGAAAATTGTTGTATACATGAATGACGAGACAAAACTTGCTCTGTTGAATGAAGCTTGTTCTTTTGGTGCAGAAGAATGTGTTTTATATCTTCTGTCAGAAGGTGTAAAACCTGACAAGGACACAAGATGGTGGTCATTGATTGACAGACATCGGAATAATAGTAACAGACAAGTGTGTTTACTTAGGGAAATTGCTGTATACTTGAATTATGAGACAAAAGTTGATGTGTTGAATGAAGCATGTTCTTGGGGTGCAGAAGAATGTGTTTTATATCTTCTGTCAGAAGGTGTAAAACCTGACAAGAACACAAGATTGTGGTCATTGAATGACAGACATCGGAATGATAGTATCAGACAAGTGTGTTTACTTAGGAAAAATGCTGTATACTTGAATGATGAGACAAAAGTTGATGTGTTGAATAAAGCATGTTTTTGTGGTGCAAAAAAATGTGTTTTATATCTTCTGGGTGAGTGAGTAGAACCTGACAATGCAGTGATTAATGTGGTGGTGGGAGGGAGTGTGAAAGTGTTACGTAAACTACTGCAGTATGACGTCACTCTTACAGCGAGAGATAAGGACCATACCAATGTCCTACATGTGGCGTGTCAGTATCAGAGAGAAGAGATGGTGACATTATTGTTATGTGACACTAACCCACACTTGGTACATGACACTGGTAGGTTTGGACAAACCCTGCTCCATGTTGTGGCAGGGCCAAGCAACTGTTTCATGTTTCAGGCAGGAAACTGTTTTATGTTTCAGACACTGGAGAGGTGTGTACTTAACTCCTTATATATAGTTGACGACCAACAACACAAGTGCGAGTCAGTAGATGGTCGTGTGGTGAACAGGATCTGTGTGTGTGCTCAGTACATGGCTCAGTTAGTGGATGTGAGGGGGAGAACGGTGTTACATGAGAGTTGTTGGGAGGGTAACAGGGAGCTAACTACAGCTGTAGATAATGACGGGAGAACAGCGTTACATGTGATTTGTGAGAGGGGAAACAGAGAGATTTGTTTATATTTATGTCATTCGTACCCAGCACTAACCACAGCTGTAGATAAGGACGGCCGTCACTGTCTACATTACATAGCTGGTATGTTATTATGGTCAGATCTAGCCATGTTCACTGAGTGTGAAACTCATGTAAAACGATACCTAGAATCTACAGGACATAAGTATGAAATCACAACCATATTTGACAATGACGAGAGATCTGTTCTAGATGAGGCAAAGGGAACGGCGACATTCTGGAGGACAGAAAAAAAAACTTTGTTAGATCATCTTATTAAAGTGTTTGGCAATAAAAATTTAGTGATTTCCAAATGAAACGTACAATTATTATCAACACAAACATTTTAAAACAATCACATGGAAAGGTCATATCACGATGAATTGTTTTAACGATGACATTTTATCAGTTTTGAAAAAGAATCGGTCCAAGTTTGACGATCTCTGTGCTCCGTAAAATAGGTCAAGGAGAGGAATAGAGAGGATCATGGCAGGTTTTAGACCAGAGTTGATGGATTAAAACTCTGATGTTTTATGATTGATCCTGATTGTGGTGTTATAGGTTGTTTTAAATGTATTTTGAAATATTGCATACATGATGCTAATTGTGCTGTGGATGAATGAAACCTCAACAACAGTTGTAACTTTGATGTCTTGTTGACATTTGAAAGATATCAAATATTTCCCAATTCACCTGAACAGAATCATAAACTTTGCCATTTTAAACATTTATATCAAAACATTTCTTTTATTGTATATACAAAACACACCAAAACTGATGACAAGATTATTTATTACTCTGAAAAGGTGTATTTGGGCATATCCCCAGAGAAAAATACTGATGTTCTTTTTAATGTTTTGAACATTCTTTCAAAACAATTTCGGGGACTTTTTTGTGATCTTTTTCTTATTACATCATGAAAGAATATGATAGCTTAAATAAGATACTTCAGAATTAGTAATTGTTTCTCTCAAAACATACATACAATGTAGTTTTATCAAATGAACTTTTTGACACTGTCATTATTTTATAATTAAGTACATGACGTACATGTACAATCAGCGTGATATCCAATAGGACGTAGCTGATTACTGACCAGAACCAGAACCCTTTAACAAATGTGTGAACAGGTGGGGATCTCTTAATTAATAACATGGATATTAATTCCTGAAGGGTGGGTTCAATTCCATATAAGGTCTCGTCATGCATAGCAAGATAACATACATTAAAAGGTCATCTGTTTTTTTGGACAAGATGAGCTAAGGTATTTTTTTTTGTAACAAATTAACAGTATTGATTATCACGTATGAAAATAAAAAAAATCTGTTTATCAGATTTTTATCAGATTATTTTTCATTTTCATATCTATGATATAGACCTGATGAGCTTATGTTTTTTTTTTTTAACTTATTAACAGTATTACCAAGTATGGGAAAGAAAAAAAGTTTATCAGGATTTTTTTCATTTTGTATTTCATTATTTATAATAAACTATGTTTGTAAACAAACATTGCATTTGTTTTTGTCTTGTGCAACATTGTGACAGTTTGCTCCTGGTGGGATAACGTCAGTAATCCGTGATATTTCTATAGTTTATATGTGTGTAGTGTGATATAGCCCCCAAGGCTAAATGTAACATGTAGATGATTATACATGTATATGTATTTTGTATTGTTTATTTCTTTTGTTATATGTATAAACATGTGTATGCTGATTTATGATAATATATCTACAACAATATAGTTATATTGTACACCAATAGTTAATAAATAAGATTTATTTAACTGTATCATATTGTTCTGGAACGTTGTTTGTAAATTTATATCTATTTAACAATTTACTCAAACCTGTAACAATTTCCTTACTGCTACGAAGAGTCATTCATGGCAGTCACATGAAAAGTCTCTTCTCTTTTAATGTCAAATTGATTTGTCGATTAACGTTAGTGTGTTACTAAGAAACAAAGACAATTTAATATTATGCTTTTTAGCTAACCTGCCCGAACGGCAAATGAGCTTATGCCATGGCGCAGCGTCCGTCGTCAGTCCGTCCGTTAACTTTTCCTTTATAACACTACTTGTGCTGAACGGTGGGTGTGGCCCCACTTTGGGCAGAGTGGTGGGGCCCAATAGGGGAAATAGAGGTAAAACCTTAAAAATCCTTCTTCTACCATATCGATTAAGGGATTTTATCCCAATTTGGTCTGGGGCATCCTTAGGCCAAGGGCACTCAATTTTGTATAACTGGTGGGTGTGGCCCCATTGGGGGCAGAGGAGCGGGGCCCAATAGGGGAAATAGAGGTAAAACCTTTAAAATCCTTCTTCTACATATGCACCATAGGGATTAAGGGATTATATTCTTATTTAATCTGGAGTATCCTTTGTCCAAGGGGACTCATTTTTGTATAAATGGTGGGTGTGGCGGAACTGGGGGCAGAAGGGTGGGGCCGAATAGGCGAAATAGAGGTAAAACCTTTAAAATCCTTCTTCTACCATAGGGATGAAGGGATTTTATTCTTATTTAGTCTGGAGTATCCTTGGTTCAAGGGGACTCAATTTTGTATAAAGGGTGGGTGTGGCCCCATTGGGGGCAGAGGAGCGGGGCCCAATAGGGGAAATAGAGGTAAAACCTTTAAAATCCTTCTTCTACATATGCACCATAGGGATTAAGGGATTATATTCTTATTAAATCTGGAGTATCCTTTGTCCAAGGGGACTCATTTTTGTATAAATGGTGGGTGTGGCGGAACTGGGGGCAGAAGGGTGGGGCCGAATAGGCGAAATAGAGGTAAAACCTTTAAAATCCTTCTTCTACCATAGGGATGAAGGGATTTTATTCTTATTTAGTCTGGAGTATCCTTGGTTCAAGGGGACTCAATTTTGTATAAAGGGTGGGTGTGGCCCCATTGGGGGCAGAGGAGCGGGGCCCAATAGGGGAAATAGAGGTAAAACCTTTAAAATCCTTCTTCTACATATGCACCATAGGGATTAAGGGATTATATTCTTATTAAATCTGGAGTATCCTTTGTCCAAGGGGACTCATTTTTGTATAAATGGTGGGTGTGGCGGAACTGGGGGCAGAAGGGTGGGGCCGAATAGGCGAAATAGAGGTAAAACCTTTAAAATCCTTCTTCTACCATAGGGATGAAGGGATTTTATTCTTATTTAGTCTGGAGTATCCTTGGTTCAAGGGGACTCAATTTTGTATAAAGGGTGGGTGTGGCCCCACTGGGGGCACAAGGGTGGGACCGAATAGATGAAATAGAGGTAAAACCTTTAAAATCCTTCTTTTAACATAGAGATTGAGGGATTTCATCCCAATTTGGTCTGAAGCATCCTTAGGCCAAGGGCACTCAATTTTGTATATGTGGGTGTGCCCTCCCGTTGGGGCAGAGGAGAGGGGCCCAATAGGGGAAATAGAGAATAAACTTTTAAAATCCTTCTTCTAGCATAAGGATTAAGGGATTTTATTCTAATTTGGTCTGAAATATTTTTAGGCCAAGGGGACTCCATTTTGTATAAATGGTGGATGTGTCCCTACTGGGGGCAGAGTGATGGGGCCAAATAGGGAAAATAGAGGTCAACCTTTAAAATCCTTCTTCTACCATAGGGATTAAGGGATTTCATTCCAATTTGGTTTGAAGGATCCTTGGGCCAAGGGCACTCATTTTGTAAAAACGGTGGGTTTGGCCCCTAGGGCAGAGGGGTGGGCCCAATAGGGAAAATAGAGGTAAAACCTTTGAAATCCTTCTCCTACAATAGGGATTCAAGATTTTATCCCAATGTTATCTCCATCAAGTTTCTTCTCGCTATATCTCCAGAAATCCTGGCTGGATCTTTCTGAAATTTCATATGTACAAACAAGATAACCACCAGGCCGCCATCTTGGATTTTGTCATTTAAAGTTTGTTCTCGCTATATCTCCAGAAATCCTGGCTGGATCTTTCTGAAATTTCATATGTACATACATTACCTACCAAGGAGTGCTTTATCTTTACTTCATTTCAAGTACTTTAAACATATATCCAGGTGAGCGATACAGGCCCTCTGGGCCTCTTGTTTAAATCCGCTACACTAACATAAAAGTGAACAAATTGTGTGCAAGTTGGGCATATTCTAACTATGGACAAATCAGGCAAAGAAAAAAATCTCCCTGACCCCGGACCGCCAATTACTTTTAAGCAACTTAATTGAATTTAATGGATGGTGCCCCTTGAAAAAACCTGGAGCCCTGGGGTGAAATAGTAGTTTTACTGGATTAGCCCTAGTAAGATCTCATTTATGAATATTTTTTGTTGTACCTAAGGCTATTATTGCATATAGAAGTATTTACAATTATTTTCTACAAACCACTTATCAAGGCATTCCATCCATGTACAATACACAACATAACCGACACCTGTATTTACGTACGACTTAAACTTATATCTTCAACATTACAACTTCTTAACAGTTTGATTTCATTTTAATTCTGGTTCTATTTCAAATAGGATAACACTTCTCTTCATCTAATAAAACAATATTATATAAAGACATGAATTGAAACAAAATCCAAACCTGATTGGTCGAAGCTTTAAAAGAATAATGAAATGTAAAAAAAAAAAAATGTAAATGTTTTGGAAATATAATTTATAAAAAATGTTATGTTTGTTTTACTTAAGGATCCCTGTCCCACTGCAGTGTGGTTTTTCATATATACAATACGCCCACCTTAATTTCGTTTTGATTAGAGTTGTAGCATGGTTGGGCCATGACACTTCCATTGACCAGGTGGC